TTCAACATCCTCGACTAAGCTGATGGATCTATTGATGAACTTTAAGGGCGAGCTAAACAATGCAAATGAGGTAATGTGATGAGTCAAAGCATTCTGAGGCGATGCTGAAAGAGGTCTTGGAAAAGGCAAAAAAAAACGTCAAAGAAGTCGGGGGGAAAAGAAAATTCAAACAAAAAAACTATTAGAATACAAAAAAATTCATACCAAAATATAATCTTCAACAAGCTCAATGTCTTATTCAAAGAAAAATCAGTTAAATCTTCTCAACAAGCAAACTATGTTAGTTAAATCTTTTTCAATTAAAATTTTTTCAAATCTCAAAAGTAGTTAGAAACTAAGTATAAGGACTAAGGATTACTTTATTTTAATTAATTAATATATTAAAAATAATTGATGATTTGATGTTGCTTTCTTATTATTGTTCTAGAAGCATGTCAATTCTATGCGTTTCATTTGATGTTGCTTTCTTATCTTCAAATCTTCAACTATAAAACTAGTAGCTACTTACTTTCTTATCTTCAAATCTTCAACTATAAAAATAGTAGCTACTTGCTGTGTCATTTATGTATACTGACATATTATTTATTTAACCAATTGCTTTACTAAATTACTAGGTAGTTAGTTGCAATCTAAAGTCTAAAATTAATTGAATGCAAAATATAAAAAACAGTAAAATAAAGTTTAAAAAAATTGATTTTGTTACATTTTATTTCATGTATATTTCATAGTAATAGTAAATAGTGATAATATAATTAAAGAGTGTATTAATAATCCCATCCTATGATGATTACATACATGTTTTTTGATGATTACATACATGTTTTTTGGTTACTAATTTTTCTTGGCACTGATTTAATATTTTATTGTAGGAACTCAATTTAACAAAAGGACTATAAATAGATCGGTTGCTAGTAAATAGTGCAGAGTTGATGATTGACGGACACAATAGATATACTGAGATATTTTAGATTTTTTTACTATGTCTCCTAAGATACTTTCTAAGAATAGAAAGTATGAATGTGAAAATAATAAGCGTAAGAAAAAGAAAAAAAATTAAAAAGTTAATCCAATTTCAAGCAAGAGTTTTTGATAAATTTTTGATAAAAGAATCACAAGTTCTAAATGAAAGTTATTATGTTGATAATATTAATGTTGAAATTCTTGATAGGATGCCCATTGAAAATGATAAAATTGATAGTGTGCCTATTAAAAATGATAGTGATGATAGTGTGCCTATTGATGATGAAGTTAATAATGATGAAGATAATCTTGAGGAAGTTAATGATGATGATGATGATAATGTTGATTATGATATATTTGATCCAAGAAATTGAGATCGTCTTCAACTTAAAATGATCGATTTATTAGTTGTGAAAGGGTCTAAAAGAGATAATTCTATTGTGAAAGGTCCTAGAGATAATTGGAATAGATGTTTTACGGCTAATTTATATACTAGAGCTTTAGCAAATGGAGAAAAGTGTAATAGAGATTGACTTGTTTATTCGAAAAACTTGATAGATTGTTTTGTTTCTGTTGTAAAGTTTTAAGAAAATGAGATTGGTAGGGGACAATTAGCAAACGAGGATTATAGTGATTGGTCACATGTTGGTGCAAGAATTAAAGAGCACGAGTTAGACATGGAACATTTTAAGAATATGACTATTTGGTATGAGTATCGTCAAAGGCTGAAATATTTTCAAATATGATAAAACGACTCAAAGATTAATTGAGAAAGAAAAGGATCATTGAAAAAATGTTTTAAAAAGATTTATTTCAATAGTGAAATTTCTTGCTAAACAGAATTTGACCTTTCGTGGTTCTAAGGAAAAATTATACGAAAATTGCAATGACAACTTTTTGGGTTTGATTGAAATGTTAGCTGGATTAGACCCAATTATCCAAGAACATGTTAGACATGTTACAATTCAAAAAGTTCACACTCATTATCTAGGACACAAAATACAAATTGATTTGATTTCATTGATTGGTTATGCAATTAAAATTGAAATCATTAGAAAAATCAAGCAAGTAAAGTATTTCTCAGTAATACTTGATTGTACTCCAAATGTTAGTCACCAAGAGAAAATATCTTTGATAATAAGATATGTGGATGTTTTTTCAACCTCTATTAGCATTGAGGAATCATTTTTAGGATTTTTGAATGTGAATGATACAACCGGCCAAGGACTTTTTGATGTTTTGCGAAATAAATTGAAAGAACTTGGTCTCGACCTATTTGATGTGAGAGGACAAAGTTATGATAATGGATAAAATATGAAAGGAAAACATCAAGGTGTACAAAAGAGATTTTTAGATATAAATTCAAGAGCCTTTTATACTCCATGTGGTTGTCATAGTCTTAATTTGGCGTTGTGTGATTTGGCTAACTCTTGTAATAAAGCTAGGATTTTTTTTTGGAGTTGTTCGACGCATTTATACAATTTTTTTCCAATTCAACTAAGAGATGGAAAAATTTGAAAGATAATGTAAAAAGGTTGACTCCAAAATCATTGTCATCCACTTGTTGGGAGAGTCGTGTAGAAAGTGTCAAAGCTATAAGAACTCAAATGTCAAATTTTACGAAGCTTTACTTGAAGTGGCAGAATATGATCTTGATCCTAAATTACAAAATGAAGCTAAATCCTTAGCAATAAGTGAGCTTGGTGATTTTGAGTTTTTGATGGCTACAATTATTTGGTTTGAAATATTATCTGCAATTAATTTTGTTAGCAAGCTTTTACATGAAAAAGATATGCTTATTGATGTGACTATGAAAAAAATAAAGGAGTTGATTTTATTTTTTTGAAGGATATAGAGAAACAGGTTTTTATAATGCACTAGTTAATACTAAAGAAATTGCGGTTGAATTGAATATTGCTCCAATATTTCCTCAAAGGCGTATAATTAAAAGTAAAAGACAATTTGATGAGAATTTGAATACTCCAGCAGTTGAGCTATCCGAAGAGGAGCCTTTCAAGGTTAATTACTTTCTTTACCTTGTTGATCAAGCTGTTGTTTCTCTTAATAAGAGATTTGAGTGATACCAAGAGTATGAAAGTATTTTTGGTTTCTTATTTACTTCTCACAAGTTACAATCATTGGATGATGCAACTTTGAAGTCTTGTTGTAGTAACTTTGAACGGGTATTGAAACATAATGCGCAATCTGATATAGATGAGAATGAATTTTTTGAGGAGTTAAAGTTACTAAGAGAAATGTTGTCTGAAGAAATCATAACACCTACTGATATATTACTATTTTCAAAAGGATTGGATTGTTTTTCTAGTACAGTCATTGCATATAGAATTTTGTTGACTATTCTTGTGAGAGTTGCTTCTGCAGAAATAAGTTTTTCAAAATTAAAATTGTTAAAAACTTACTTGCGATTTACCATGTCACAAGAAAGACTTAATGGATTGGCGTTGATAGCAATTGAAAATGATCTTTTATTGACAATAAAATATGAAAATTTAGTTGATGAATTTGCTTTAAAAAGTGTTCGGAGAAAGACTCTTTTTAAATAGTTAGAAACTTTATTTTATATAAAAAAATATTATTAGTTTAAACAATACTTTGAGTTTTTTTAATTAATTTTTAAAAAGATTTAGGCCAATTTATTAAATTAAAATAGGGCCATCAGATTAGTTGGGCCGACCCTGTTTTTAGTATCCATACTCTCAAAGATAATTTACTGCAACATTAATTAAATTAAATTTTTAATAATATTAACTATTCTAATTATATTAAGAAATTAATTAGAATACACGGTTAGTATATAATTATTTTACACTATCATCCAATTAAAATGAATTATTTTGACGCATAATTATGCAATTAAAAAATTATAATTAAATCATTTTAATAACTACTTTTATGATTCTCTCTTTTCATGTGTCAAAATAATTTATTCTAATTGAATGACAGTGTAAAATAATTTTACACTGACCTTGACCCTATATTCTAATTAATTTTTTATATTAAATGTTTAACGTTATTTATTATTATTAAAATTAAGAAATTTATTTATTTATGTATTATCTATATTCACTAATTTCTACATCAACTTAAAATTTATCATATCCACATTACTCTTTAAGTCTAATTTTAAAAACTAAAATAAACTTAAGAAAATAAAATTGTATAATTAAAATTGTGCGATATATATATATATATATATATATATATATATATATATATATATATATATATATATATATATATATATATATATATATATATATATATATATATATATATATATATATATATATATATATATATATATATATATATATATATATATATATATATATATATATATATATATATATATATATATATATATATATATATATATATATATATATATATATATATATATATATATAAAAGAGTAATATGCAATTTATTTATTTATTTTTGGTTGAATCACTACTCAGAACATCTTTAATGATATATTGTAAAAACTTTACTTTAAATTTCAATATTACATCATACATAAACATCACACACATATTTATTTTGATAACCTAAATTTTAAGTGAATTAGACTCACCTAAATTTGAGAATCTACAACTTTCAAGGGATCATGGATTTTTTTTAAGTAGTTTAATAATTGAAATTTATCTTTTTAAAGATAAATAAACAATATCATATTCAAATCCGCAACTCAGCGTTTCATGTTGATACCAACTAAATTGACTTAATATATATCAAACTTTATTAACATATTACACACATATTTTTTTCCCATAGTAGTGATGTTAAAATATATTGTTATAAATCAAATATTAATAATGATTTTATACCTTATTTAAACTATTTTCCCAATTAGGAGATCCTATTACTATTAAATTTGGCAAGTGTTGCATACTTTCCCGATTTAAACGAACACTCGTTAATTTATTTTTAGGAAATGAAATATCCTCATCCCACAAAGAGAAATGATAATAATAATCACTTACACTCACTTTCACTTTTTTTGAATAATCACAATTAACATGCCACCATTTCATTTCAACGTGTTTTCGTTATTCTTGATTCTATCCATCACCATTGTTAAACATATCGATGCTTCTGAACCTTTTCCCCTTCACGACGTTCCTTATCTCAATCGGAGCAGTTTCCCGCCAGATTTCGTTTTTGGAACAGCCTCTTCTGCATTTCAGGTACCTCAACCATCCTTCAATTTTGTTGCTATTACTTTCAATTTGCGTTATTACAAATTCAGTTTCGTGTAATTTGATTTTTTTATTTTAGTATGAAGGTGCAGCATCTGAAGATGGAAAAGGACCTAGCATTTGGGATACTTTCGCTCATAAATACCCAGGTTGTTATCAATTACTTATGAATTCCTTTTTTTTTTCTTTCAATTTTGAAAATATGAATATTATATTCAAGCATTTAAAGCTGGTCGCGTAAAGGCTTTCGCAATTTTGGTCGGTATATGTGTTATAAGAGGATTCCTCATGTTTGCTTTAGGTTTAAATTGAATCGCCTAGTTATTTGACAATGTGACAATATGTAAAGGATTCCTCATTTTTATAATGAAATGGTGTGCAGAAAAAATTAAAGATGGAAGTACTGGAGATGTAGCTGCTGACTCGTATAATCGGTACAAGGTATATATAGTCCAAATTGTGGTTTCGCAAAGGTGTATAAAAATATGTGATGCATTTCGAGTCATGATGCTGATAGACATTCTATGTATTTTAGGATGATATAAGAATCATGAAGTATATGAATATGGATGCTTATAGATTCTCCATTTCATGGTCTAGAGTGCTACCGAGTAAGTTATTTTTCTTAATATTTCATCGCCTTGTAGATTGGTGATTTATAGTAACTGTTATACATTTTTTATCTACTATTTGTAGAAGGAAAGCTTAGTGGGGGTGTAAACCGTGTAGGGATAAATTACTACAACAACCTCATCGACGAACTATTGGCTAATGGTTAAGATTTGGAGTTATTTATTTATTTATTTATTTTAAATTTTCACATTGGGTTAGAATCATTTCCGTGTGGTTATTAATCATAAATATTCGTTGGAGAATAATGCAGGTCTGGAACCATATGTGACCATTTTCCATTGGGATGTTCCACAAGCCTTAGAGGATGAATATGGCGGTTTCTTAAGCCGTCACATTGTGTGAGTGACACCATTTTCCATCTAGAGCTATTTTTGTATGACTACTTAGGGAGAGTTTGCAGTAAATCTAACAAATTGATTAACATATGTAATTCATGAGCTTGCAGAGATGATTTTAGGGACTATGCTGAACTTTGCTTCAAGGAATTCGGTGATAGAGTGAAACGTTGGATTACTTTGAATGAACCAAGAAGTGTGAGTAAGAATGGCTATGCAAACGGAAGGTTTGCACCAGGGCGATGCTCAGACTGGTTGAAAATGAATTGCACAGGAGGTGATTCAGGGACAGAACCGTATTTGACTTCACACTATCAACTTCTTGCTCATGCTGCTGCTGCAAAACTGTACAAGACCAAGTATCAGGTCCTTTGTATTATTGAATTGTTTTAAAATTAGAAAAATATTTTTTCGAAATCTGCTGTAAATCTTCTTAAAATACACGAGACTTAAACATCCCTAATAGAAGGGTGAAGCATTACAAAACCATGCACAATTGCTTTATGGTGGTAGAACATGCTTCTTTTTTTAGTGTGAACACATTGAAGCTGTTTCTAATTAAAAAACCTTTTTTATAATATGCAGGCATCTCAAAAGGGTTTACTAGGGATTACCTTAAACTCTGATTGGTTTGTGCCTGTCTCTAAAGAGAAATCAGACCGTGATGCGGCACAACGAGCCCTCGACTTCATGTTTGGGTGGTAAAGAATTAAACTTGACTATTCCTTGCTCAACAAGAGAGATTATATTAAAATTTGAAAATATGATAATTAGGGGGTATTATACTTTATTCTACTCGGTAAGAAAATTGTGGACCAACTACATATTCATGCGAAGTTACAAGATCTAATAATGACTGTAAACCATTTCCTAATATTGTCACTATTAATGGATATACCACAAGATTAGTATATTGGTAGTCATTTTTATCTAGACTGATTTGTGTTGTTTACACAAACTATATATTTTCTTGGGAACCTGTAGAAAGTTGCATGCAAAATTCATAATATTTCAGTTCACTTTGGTTTTTGAATTTAAAAGAAACTGTTATGTATGACCAGCTGAAAATGCAGCTATGTGCCATTTCCGCAAAGTATTATGAAATCCAAAGAGTATTTCTTTGATTCTATCTGCACTTTGCATTTTGCATCAGGTACATGGAGCCACTCACCAAAGGTGAGTATCCAAAAAGCATGCAATCCATGGTGGGAAAACGGCTACCAAAGTTCTCCGAAAAAGAATCAGAGCAACTTAAGGGTTCCTTCGATTTTCTAGGCCTAAACTATTACTCATCCTTTTATGCTGCTAATGCTCCTCACCTACGCGGGGCTAAACCAGCCCAACAAACTGATGCTCTTGTTAATGTTACAAGTAATTATCAGTTAATTATATGCTCGCACTAGCTTATTTAGTTCCAAAATATCACCAAACGGAACTAAAATAAAACTAATAATACCTAATCTTCTGAACTTTATTGTTTATTATTTTTGAATGACAGATCAGCATGATGGAAAGCCCCTTGGTCCAATGGTATGTATTTCGTCATTGCATTGGCAACTAAATTACATATCAATTCTTTTCATTTGTATGTTTTGTGCTCCAAAATATTATGTCTAAAATATAAAAATAGCTTTATTATAATTATTTGTAGGCTGCTTCCAGCTGGTTGTGCATTTATCCACGAGGGTTTCGAGAACTATTACTTTTCATAAAGAAACAGTACAACAACCCTGTAATTTACATTACTGAAAACGGTAATACATCTATTGTACTTTTTATTTTCTAAGATATTATGTGTAGTGTAGTATTGCTTTCAATATGTGCCTATTGTGCAATGTTGATAAAACCAATGAAAATCTGATAAAATCAATTTATAGGTTATGATGAGTTCAATGATCCAACTCTATCACTTGAAGAATCCCTTATAGATACTTACAGGATTGATTACTTTTATCGTCATCTTTATTATCTTCAAACCGCAATCAAGTAAGTAATGCTTATGAGATTGGTCTCCCAGCTCCTAGTTGTTTATTTGTAGGTCTTATACATATTAATTCAAAGTAGTTTTAATCATATCCATGCTATTCATAATAGTTTTATTCCTATCCATGTTTTCAAGCCTTTCTTTTTACACTTATCTGTTACTGACAAAAAGGGAGAGGCAAAATAGGAAGGTGGTTATTTGTCTTCTTAAGTGTAAAATGAATATGTAGAAAACTCGTATGGGGTTGCCTACTTACTTTCTTTCTTTGTTTTATTTTTTTATTTTATTTTTTGGGTTTGTTTTATTTTTTTATTTTATGTTTTGGGTTAATTCTTCTGCTTTATTGGCCTTTATGCATAGAAGGGATGGTGTGAATGTAAAGGGATATTTTGCATGGTCATTGTTGGATAACATGGAATGGGACTCTGGCTACACGGTGCGATTCGGACTCGCCTTTGTGGATTTTAAAAACGGCTTGAAAAGATATCCAAAACTCTCGGCTCATTGGTTCAAGAACTTCCTTAAAAAATCTTAGGACTTGTATATTTTCAGCACAAGGAAAAGTGATCTGTTTTAATGAACAATAATTGGTTCAATAATTGTTATAAATTATTTTTGTTATAAACTACAGTTAATATTATTTCGTACTTTGAATACTAAAACAAAATGCAATTATCTTTTTAATAAAAACAGGGCACTTAGACAAAGGAATGGGATATTAAATTAATTTACATTGACTAGTAGAAAAACAGACACAAACGTGTGTCTGTTTGGCCTTGTGTTTGAAAGCAGATTTTATAAAGAATAGATTAAATTTATCTTTCTTTTAAGTTTTTGTTTCATTGAAAGGGCGTTGGTCGAGTCCCCATATTTTATATATATATATATATATATATATATATATATATATATATATATATATATATATATATATATATATATATATATATATATATATATATATATATATATATATATATATATATATATATATATATATATATATATATATATATATATATATATATATATATATATATATATATATATATATATATATATATATATATATATATATATATATATATATATATATATATATATATATATATATAATTTTTAAAAAAGTTGTGCTTATCTGAACTGTTTTGATTTAAAATTGAATAATTGATATAGAAGATCAAAATAATATTGTTCCTATTGGTGAAATTGTTGCTATGTAATTGTTCTTAATGCAATTGAATTTAACCAATTTTGTTAATTAAATATTAAAATATTATTATAAAAGAATAAAATAGTAAATACAATTACTTAAATGAAAGATATTACTAAGGGAAAAATATTATACCAAAATTAAATATTAAGTTTATAATAAATATATATTCTCTTAAGTAAGAGCTTTGTCTTATTCATTTCTAATTCTCTTCGATTAGAAGGAATTTCTGCAGTTGCGCAGAAAAATACTCGATTTGTACTTAAAAAAAAATATAGATTGCCTCTATAATTCATGAGTGGTGGATATCTAAAAGAGAAAAAAGAAAAAAAAAAAGTGTGGGTGGTCACTAAAAAGAGTGTGCATCAAAGCAATATGTGAAAACTAAAAGGGTAAAAGCCAAACAACAATAAATATTTTTCTGATCTGAACCAATTATACATGATGGAACTCCTTTTTTGTCACCAAAACTGGAAATATTATGTTTTTTTTGGGTAAATAAACTGCACATGTTCTATTTGTCACTTTGTGAAAGGGAAAAGTCTTTTTTGAGATACACTTTGTCAAAACAATATTTATTATATTTTAATTTATCTACTTGTTAATATTTTAATAATAAAATTTATTTTATCATTAAAATTAACATGACTATTTATTAATTTGATAACAGTAATGCTATTGGCAATATTCTGATTTTGTAATTAAGTAATTGGTGTAATTGCTTACAGAAAAAAATATTGGATAGAAGCAATGGAGATGTAGCTGTTGATCAGTATCATCGTTATTGTTGGACTTTCAACTAGGGAGCATTGAACATAGTGGGATTTTTTCTAGAGCAACCTTTGTGAGAGACACACCACATACTCACCCAAAACCTTAAGGTGATAGGTGTGTGGGTTCTCTTATTTTATAAATGCTCAAGTCACCACATTTCTATCCAATGTGGGACTATTATCCACCCTACTCACACTTGTTAATACTTTAACTTTAACACTCTCCCTCAAGTGTGAGTCTATCCACAATGCTCTCTTATTTTATAAATGCTCAAGTCACCACATTTCTATCCAATGTGGGACTATTATCCACCCTATCCACAATGCTCTCTTATTTTATAAATGCTCAAGTCACCACATTTCTATCCAATGTGGGACTATTATCCACCCTACTCACACTTGTTAATACTTTAACTTTAACACTCTCCCTGCTCTCCCTACTGCGAAAATCGGCGCCGGCTTGACAGGAGAGTCGCCACCGTGCGTTATTTATCCCTCAGAGCGGGAAAGGAAACGCTCGAAGTAAACCTCGCAAAGACGGGAAAAGGTATGGTCATCGCAACCAAAACCTGGATTCGGGAGTCGGTTACGCAAGGGGAAGGTATTAGCACCCCTCACGTCCATCGTACTCGATGGGATCCACGCTTGGTGTTTATAGGTAAAAGGGTGTGTTATCTATCTACGCTAATGGCTGGTCTGAAAAGAAAATAAAAGGACAGGACTCGACAGAACATACGGTGTTCTGGGCCTACGTATTCCCTCGTGCAATGGGAAAGTCAGAGTCAACGTAGTTCGACTTCCTACGTCTAAACGGGGGAAAGGTTGCTCGCCAGGACATCGCGTCCTGTGCCTACGTACTTCCATCTGATATGAAAGATCAGAGCAAACGTAGTTCGACTTCCTATGGGTAAACAGGGGACTCTCACACAGCAGTGAGAAAACAAACTGGTCTCTAAGGCTCGGGAACCTACAACTATGATCTGGTCTCAAATGCACTCGGGCAGGAGAAAAGGATAACAACTAGTCGTTAGCGGGAAAGTCTCGATCGCACAGCCGCGAGAGAACTAAAGGTTAGTCGTTAGTGTGCTCGCTAGGATATCGCATCCTATGCCTACATATCTTCGCCTGGTATGAAGAATCAGAGCAGCTGTAGTTCGGCTAACTACGGATCAAGCTACTCAAAAGCTCCTACAGAAAGGAAAGGGAAACCCTAGAACTATACCTGGGAAACAGGGGAATCTACCTACTGCTATCACCCCTGGTTGACCGTCCTAATGTCTATCATGACAACTCCGCAGCGGAGAAGTCAGAGCTCCTAAGGGATCATGGCAACAGGACTGAACTACAAACAAGAAATTGCAAAGTAAGGAATACTGAAAATATGCATGAATGCAACAACTAAACAAACAAGGCGCAAAGGCCGCCAACCACAAAGGCAAGGGAGCTCAGCTCTACCAAATACCAATAAGCAAAGCCACTCAATAACAAACAAGCAGAAGGAGGACCACCTCAACTTCTCATGCACACCAAGTCTACTTCTAAGATGCACCTATTCAGAACTATCTAGATGAATACCTAAGTCTAATGCAACATAACATCATACAAGTCAAACAATCCAAAGAGAAGGCAAGCTAACCTGACAAGCCTCTATCTACAAAACAAGAAGCTACTCCTGGGCAAGGCCCCTAACCAACCTGGAACAAGCTCCTAATCTATCTCTAAACAAAACTCTATGCAACACCTTAAGCAAATATCTAAGCAAACACCTAATCAAAACCTTAAGCAAGAGGAATCAATCCCAGTCTCCAAGCTTCAGAACAAGCTTACCAGAGAAAAGGAGCTAAGCAGTCAAACTCATAGCATCTTCCTCAGGAAAGTACCAGGAGGTTACTACTCAGGAGTCATATCCTATGCGGCTCGACAACTGTGATCAGTTTACATTCCTCCTCAGGAGAAATTAAACTCACATGAAGGCTCCGGCATCACGGGATACTTGAGAAAACCTATATGCACTAAGGGAACTAAGTGAACAGACCCATAGGACCTTCCTCAGGAAAGTACTAGGAGGCTGACACTTAGGAATCGTATCCTACGTGGCTCAACAACTGTGATCAGTTTACATTCCTCCTCAGGAGAAATTAAACTCACAAGTTGGCTCCAACATCACTGGGTACTTGAGAAATCCTAGACAAACTAATGGAACTAAGTGAATAGACCCATAGGACCTTCCTCAGGAAAGTACTAGGGGACTTCCACTTAGGAATCGTATCCCATGTGGCTCAACAACATGTGATCAGTTTACATCCCTCCTCAGGAGGAATTAAACTCACAAGTTGGCTCCAACATCATTGGGTACTTACGAAAGAGGTGAGAAGAAAGAATGAAAGTCATTCATAGTGCCTTCCTCAGGAAAGTACCATAAACTCCCTTCAAACTTCAGGATCTCGAACCTCACAAACAGATAACAAGCTCCTAGACTAAGCCTCAATCCACTGCCTCTCTGCAAGCTCCAACAGGACTTCAATCAGCTCCCACCTTGAGAAGAACCCACAGGCCAACAAACCACAAGAGACTATCTCTGAAGTTCAACCACAGTTGAACTTCAAAGTCAGAAGTCATCAAGACTTCTCCTATCTTCAGGCTCAGACAAATCATATCAGAACATCCTATAAAAATCTATCAAAAATCTAATGGGAGACCTACATGGCTCTATGACAACATACTGAAAAATCAGAACAAAATTCAACACCAGATGAAAGAACTAAAATCAGCAACACAGACATATCCACACCAATTTATTCAACATCAATAACAGTGAAAAAAATGCAATTAAAATGAAAATGCGTGATTAAGCTAATGTTTTTATACTATAAAATTCTACACTGAATTACGAGTCTACAGAAAAAAGAACGGAATTATTTGACTAAATCTACTATTTTTCATGAATTTTCTAATGACATGTATGCACTAAGAAATATTAAAAGAAATCAATTAAATGGAAAATATACAAAAAATAGCACCCAAAAATAAAATGGCATTTTTATTTTTATTTAATTTTCTAGATGCTTTCATGAAATGGTAGAAAAAAGAAGAATTAAAAAATCACTTATTTTCATTTTATTATGATTTATTTAATATGCAAAGAAATAAAAGAAATTGAAAGAAAATAAAATTGAAATAAAACTGGAGGGGGGTACTAACAGCAAAGGATTCAGTTATTAATTCATTGGGCTCACATTGGTGGGGTGCCATCAGCAAATGGGCGCAGGGCCCAGACTTATTAACCAAAAAAAACAACAAAACTGAAATGAATGCAGGGGGGGTGCAGCGCTAGCAAGTTTCTCAGTTATTCTTCACTGGGCTTACGCCCAGGGGGGGTGCTGATAGCATGAGGGCCTAAGGCCCAAATCAAATCACTCTGGTTCTCACACGCCAGGGGGGGGGGGTGACGAGTAAACGGGAGTGTGCGTCAGTAACACACGCTTGGGCTTAGCCCAATATCCTAACCCTAATCCAATTGGGAACCCTAACAAACAAAACCAAATTCAC